AATTCGAGGTTCCAGACTCCGTCATTACCATGCTGTTTCCGATGGAGGAGAACCAGGTCATTTCTTAGATGATGGCAGACACTAACAGTGCTCTGAGGTAGGAGAACCAGACCCTGTCGCAGAGGCTGAGGGAGGAGAACCAGGCCTTGTCGCAGATGCTGATGGAGGAAAACCAGACACTTTCCTAAAAACGGAAAACCAGGTCCTCTCAGAGAAACGGAACCACATCACCTGTGCCCTCATAAATGAATTCACCATCGAGTTATCCGAGGCGGCGGACAAGATTCATGGGAAGCTGCAAGAAGTCGATCAGAAAATCGCTGAAAGAGACGCGCACCTCCGAGAAGTCGAACAGAAATTTACTGAGCGAGGCGCGCAGCTCCGAAGACTTGAGGAGCAGATCCATCGAGTCATCAGTCAAGACGTCGTCATGAACGATGTGGAACGTCCCGTGAAGCAGGAAAAGCCTGTATCTGCTGCAGCCAAGCTGAAACCTCCAACATTCGATGGGAAGAAAATGCTCTAGATGTGGAGTGGAGTGTAGCAAATGGACGACTACGAACACCTAGTCAAGTGCTTCGAAATGGGGGGGCGGGTATACCAGTAGCAGATGAGGACCCGTCGACAGAAAGCAACTGAGAGTCTGCAACGCTCCTGGGAAGGCCCTTACCCAATCCGTAAGGGTGCTAAGGTGCCGAAGCTGAAATGTGAGCGAGATGGACTAGAATGGAGGACCGTACGAAATATGGAGGAGTCCAGGAGACGATGCCACGACACTTCTAGGCCAGGGGACCTGTTTTGAGACGAAATGGTATTTAGGAGGAGGAAGCGAAACGGTCTTGAGGAGGGGGCAGTGCAACGCCTTCATAACTGGAACCTTGAGTAACGAGGAAATGCCTTCACAATTTCGACGCTTGGGCAACCAGAATTACGCGACTATGGAGCGTGGTCACGTTCTGGGGCGTTCGGAACGCCATCGCGAACATCTGAGACGTCATATACTCGTAGATATCCACACAAGAGTGGACGGTAACGCAAATTTTGATATTGACCACATATTCACTAGCACTCCTTCTGATGATTTTCATGTAAATTCTGTAATATTCCAAAACCACTTCACTTTACAACAATACTAGAGATACTTTGCCCTAAAATAATTATAAATGTAGACATAAATTGTGTAGATAGAACAAATGAAACTAAACTACTCGAACTTCTGGATTATCAAACTTTGACACCAATATATAATTCGATCAACACGCACAAATCTACTGAAAATTTCATACAAATATTGAACAAAAATGTCATTTAATATAAAATGAAACTCAAAAATAATCATCGAACGAGAAAAACATGGACAACCAGCGCCTTGGTGAACTCTATAAATAAGAAAAACGAACTATGCCGTGAAATGATATAGAAACCTACGGCAATAAATATAAAAAATATAAGGATTACAGAAACTTTTTAAATAACATTGGTAATCAAAACAGTGAATAAGCTTATCACCTCATTTTATTTAGACAGTACGGATGAAAATAAAGTGATGGAACCTATATTAAGCTTGAAAAATGGTAAAGGTCCTAGAAGCGATAATATAAAAGCTGGAACTCTGAAAAAAATACGTTATCAAGCCTCTAAAATATATAATAACTGAATGTTTTCGCACAGGAGTATTTCCGGATATTTTAAAAATAGCCACAATAATACCTATCTACAAGAAAGATAGCAAACCTGATTCAGAAAAGTATAGACCAATATCTTTAATTTCGAATATCGCTAAAGTCGTCGAAAAAATGATCAAGTGAAGTTTACTAAAGTATTTCAATAAATATAACGTGTTACATGATAATCAATTTGGATTTAAAGAATGCATATAAACGCAAGCTGCAATAGCTATCCAAAAAACTGCTAATGATAACATCCCTACTATTTGCATCTTCATAGACCTAACCAAAACTTTCGACACCATTAGTCATGACACGCTGTTGGAAATACTAGAACTTATAATAGTATAAGGGGAACTCCTCTAGATTTAATGTCGAGCAATAGCAAGCAGTGTGTGTAAAAATATATAACGTGACCTTGTTTAACATATATGTATATGAATGATTTATACTCAATTGATTCGGGAAGTGCAGTACAAGGATTCGCAGACGCCACTGTTATAATTTAAGAAGACTCAAGTTGGTATGCACTTAAAAATAAAATCGAAAATCATTGCACTAGCGTACTGGCATATTCCAACGCTAAGCTACCCACAGTAAACTTTGAGAAAACTAGTTTTGTACCTTTCGCATGGTGTAACATCTATCTGCCACTATATAATAATAATAAATGTCATAACAGGAAACAACACGACTACCATTAACCGCCAAACCAGCACTAAATATGTGCGAATATACCTGTATGTTGTTGTATGAGAATCTTATGCTTCTCACTTCTACAGTCACATCTACAGAACTTGGAGATTTAAAAAAAAATATTTTTTAAAAATTATTTACATCAAGAGCAAAGCCCATCCGTCTGATGGTTCTGGAATGATGGATATTAGGAAAATCTCTATTAATAATTGCACGGCATGCTACTTTAAAAATAAAACTTAACATGATGAAATCGCTCACAAATATGGCTCCCGCCAGAAAGTGGCTAAGTACATAATGGTATCTAGGCCAAAAAATCATTATTGCAGTGCTCCTGGATTTATCTATACCCCAAATTGTACAACGTAATGCTTTCCGATTACAGATTAATACAAAACATTAGCTTAACTATGAAATTGTATCAGAACACAAAAATTAATTCGGAAATACACTTTAAAAAGGGGGGTTAGAGTGCTACTGCTACTGTTTCATGCAATCTCCATCTTTTTTTTGCATTTTTAATGCCTATTTTAATTAGGTATTCCCGGCATTGCTTAACCTATTCCACCTGAATATATGTAGTTAAAATAGGCATTAGAGAGACCAAAAAGGGATTGAAGATCCTGGCGCCATCTAGGAGAATGTAACAGACCCCAAACTTTTCAAAATAGATTTCTAAATTAATTTTTGTGTTCTGGCACTGTATCAGAGATTTGTAGTATCCTTCAGATTCATTTTTGAACGCCAGAATACAGTATATGGTTGGTTATCGTCAATCGGATTATTATTATCCTCATTAATATTTTTTATAAGAAATTTCAAGTGGGTCTCCTGAAGTTGATCCTTAAAATGAGGAAGCATATATCGTCGGTCTCCGCACGTACCGGCGTAACTAACATTTTACAAATTTTACAGGAGAGCTAGAAAACGAAAATCAGCAATAAATGAGATTGAAAATGACATACTGATTTTTTAGTCTGCACGTTGCTGTTTTTTTTGTTAGACTAAAATGAACCAATTTTAATGCAGAGGCGAAAATCTATTTAAGCCGGTCCGTGAAAATTGCTATCGAAATTTTATAACCTACGCAATTTTTTGAAAATGTTACTCCTTAGCAGCGAACTGATATACAGCTACGTCATTTCGTGAAGTGAGACTACAAAAAAATATGTGAAATTACGGCGTAACTCGATTTTAGATTATTTATTATATTAATAGATGAAAAAAAGTGGATGTAGCATCTGAAACTTATCATGTGGTTTTCATGTCGCTAATCTCCCATGTTTGTCTGACCAATGCAACCACATACCTATATTTGAAATTCTTCTTTAATGTAGTAAATGTTGCGGTCACAATGGTGACCTTCAGTACATCTGGTTTCATTGGCCAGATAAACATGGCAGATTAAGGTGGTCAAGATTCACTTACCTGTCGGGGAACTGCATTCCCGAACTCTGACTATAAGAATTGTTTATTAAATGCTTAATCATTTTTTTCTCTCCAGTTTCAATTATATGTTCATGTTAATGTCTCCTCCTGATCCATAGTCCATAGGAGTGGTACCAATTCCTAGGCCGTCGGCTTTTGGATATCAATTTGTCTATTACCTCACTATACTCCTTTAGGCTAGGTTTTAGGTTAAGGTAGTAATAAGCTGAAGTGGTTATGTATACCCTATTTCAAGAGTATCCATCACGGCAGAATGACAGATGATTATCTAGTAATATCACAAAATTCCCCATATCGGCACAGGACACTTAATTCTGACGGATCCGTCAACGCCAGGGAGACAGAGTCGAAATTTGTTTTGGTTTTTTGTACGCTACAGATTCATTTTGTACTTGTTAACAGCTCTTTTATTTAGAAAAGTTAAGTTGCACACAAAAAACAAAACTCCACAAATAAGTTTTACTAGATTTATACCCCATTATCGCCAACGTTGCAGACTAACACAAAACACTGATCAGCTGCTCACCTCAGTAGACGTCCAAACGTGATGGATACTCGTGAAATCGGGTATATGCATGGTCACCGGCCACACTTTGCCATTTGTAACTGTACTCTATGCATTTGTTACAATAAAGTCGATTTAATTGAATTGATATAAAAGTGGCTCTCCAAGTAATTCTCGGAAGGAAAAGTGCAGTCATTCATCAGTATCATCTCTAAAAACAGAGTTAACTTTGTGATGGAATGTTTCATAATATAAAGAACCTAGGAAGAAATGAAGCAATTGTTTTACCGAAAATGGGTGCATTCACAAACTTGTTTGACGAACGTCAAATAATTTCTCATCATTCCCGAGTCTGTTCTTCTTCTTTGCCCAAATGACGTGTAAAGGAAAATCTCAACTATGACAACACCCTGTATAAATCCTCATACCCATAAATATGGTGAAACTCCATGCATTTCTCTTGAAAAAATATGAGGCACGGCTTAAAATGTTAATTCGTAATACTTTTTTCAAAATTCGAATCGTTACCAGGTTACTTTATTGCAATATTTGAATGGAATAGTCCGCTAATACTGATTAATTTTTCAGCCTTTCAGATATCTTCGATAGACTCAAGACTGAATTAGTTGATTTGCACACACACATTCAAGGCCAAAGTGTGAGACTATAAAGAAGATACGCAATTAAACGAAACATTTAATCGAAACACAAATAGTAAAATATATCAATGTAAAATATTTCCATAAATAAACAGTACACCTTTTGCGTATCACCTATGTTTTCAAACATAAAAATAATCAAATATACACACCTTTACACTTGTAAATCAGCAAAACTGAATTCAATACATTTTAAAAATAGTATATGTCAAGCATATAAAAATAGAAAACGTTTTTAAAGGTAACTTTAAAATAACTTCAAGGAAAGCTGAATTTCCTTCATGAAACATTCGAGGTCTGCTTTGGAGCTAAATGAACTGTATACATTTTGGAACAATATAGTCAAAATTTGAGCACAATTCAACCAATTATACATTAACCGTTGCTTTTTCTAGAAACTTACTGGCCAATATTTAGTTTTAATGATAAAACATTTGAACTCATCCTCACCATTACATGATTCTTTTTACTCCAACATAAATTTCCAACAAAAACTGTTTTATACTATGTATACAAAATCAGGCAAATCTGGCAGTAAGATATGTATGCATGTAGTCATAGACCACCAGCATGATGGCACCTCCAGGTCCTAGTCTCATTACTTTCGGTAGCAGACCTTTATAAAGTGCACGAAAGCTGAAAAAGTTATGATACATGAGCCTTCGGTTAATACATGATGGGTAGGAGGTTTCTTGATCAACAAGTTTCCATCCTGAAAATCATAGATTGACCTTCCACGGTGCCATAAAAGGGCACAAAGGGTGTTCAAATTCAAAATTTGTATTTTGTTCAATTTGTACTTTGGAAAAGGCTAACGGCACTCGGAACTTCAACATTTGGTTTTCAGTGGAAATGAATATAAAAAAATACAAAGACACCATCGTGAAGATGTTGATAGCTACAAATAAACGCAGCATTATTAAAAGAGTGTCGTACCCTTCTTCTCTGTAGACAATCGCCATAGAATTCAGAGTTCCCCTATATTTGATTTTTCCAGGAATAGGCTGCGGTCCTTGTATTCTAGACTTTGCTACATCAAATGGAATATTTACACAAGAGGCTAAGGTACCAGATACAAATCCTATGCTCACTTTTCGGAAAAACTCATGCCAAGGGTTCTGCAAAATAAAATTCATATTATTTTTTTCTGGATTACCTTGGTTCATTAAAGCTAGAAACTTGCTTCCAAGAAAGCACGGATTGCGAAAAACTAGATAATTAGAACGATACTTGAGTTGAGTCGGAACGAGGTTACGCAAGTACGGCACTGATTGAGCTTGGATTAGACAAGCGGTTTTGTCAGGTCTTCCTGAAGCTGCTACTAATACTAGTAGTAGTAGTAGTTGTGGGGAGGTGAAGCCAGGCAAGTAGGCCACCTTTGGCCATTTTTGACTACTAACCTGATATTCTGGTAAATATCCCTTAACTGAATGATAGAATCCAAAGTAAAACATATTGAACACTCCGTTTCTAGCTATCGTTGCTGTGACACCTTTATTCAAGCCTCTTGAACCCAATCCACCTTTGGACACTATATCTTTTGTTACAATCCATGTACTAGGTGCATCTTTACTTCTAGCTGTAATTTTAAAAGATAGGTAAATGTAATAATTAAACTTTTTACCAGGCAATAGTGAGTCAGCATATAACAAACAAAAAAATACCCGAAAAATTAATAATCTCCACATTATATTATTAGTTCTATGTATATATGTCTCTGCCATAATGGTTCTCAAGTGAATGTGAAGTTTGACTTAGTTTTCTGGTCTGGACGATTTATTCTTAGCTATGATTCGCAAAAAAATTGTTCGGTGGTTGTAGGTTTTGAATAGCTGTTTCGACTTTGGTATCCACTTTTTATTTATCAATGAAAGTATGAACTTGAAGGCTGGCATAATCGTCTAGTACCTTTATTAGCCTGCATTGTAACCTTCACAACTTCAAACGGGTTCACCAAAATTGCTTCTGTCACACCTGCTCCTAGTCCAGCTAGTGAGAAGGTCTAAAGAGATAGAAAATATTTTATATTACAAACTATACCTATATATTTACCTTTTATGGTTTCTATGGCAAGCAAATATGGTGAATGAGGGATATCCCAATAGGAACTTCAGAATATAATTTTTAGTGGAATTTCCCTTAAATTGCTCATGTGTCATTTAGAGACCAGGTTGTTTAATTATGGATCGTTTAAAAACATACAGCTACGAGGGTGGTCTGAAAAGTTTCCGACCTAACAAAGATTTTCGATTTTTTTTTTATTTTTCAACATAGTCTCTTTGTAACTCTACACACTTCTCCCAGCGATGCTCCCATCTCTGTAACCCGTCCAAATAGTACTTGGCGTTTTTCTCTGCAAAATAATGTGACGAAAATCTCTGTCCTTCGAGCGTAATTTTTAGATGAAGGAAGAAAAAGAAGTCGTTAGGGGCTAGATCTGGTGAGTAAGGCGGTTGGTCAAGCAGTTCAAACCGTTATTCGTGAATTTCCGCCATGGCAATCGCTGAGGTGTGAGACGGTGCATTGTCTTGGTGAAACAGGATTTACTTTTTCTGCAAACGTGGCCGTTTTTCCGCAAGCTCTGCCTTCAGCTTGTCAAGTAATGATGCGTAGTATGCTCCTGTAATGGTTTTTTCTTTTTCAAGATAATCGTTTAAAATAACTCCATGACTATCCCAAAAAACACTTTCACTTTCCAGCCGGTTCCCCCTTTGCAGTCCACTGTTTGTACTGTATTTTTGTTTGGAGCGTATAATGGTGTATCCAAGTTTCATCTACAGTAACTAATCGGCGCCAAAACTTGGATTTATTGCGCTTAAACTGCGCCCACAGAGCGTTTGAAATGTTCATTCGAACACGTTTAAGTTCAGCACCCCAAAATTTCACTGTCACAAATCATGGTGCAGAGCCCACTACACAGAATACAACTCATCTTTGATTTGCGTAAGCGTATTGTCATTCAAAATCAAACATTTAATGACAGCTCGGTACTCGATTTCGTCCATTTTCACAAAAACACTCGCATCAACTCACTCAAACGACTGTTACATAACACCTGCGCACCCAAAATGGCAGAAACTTTGGTGAGTAACTGACAGCAGATGAACAACGGAATTCACTAGCTTTTATTTGCGGCTGCTGCCGTCTTTACGTTGAGGTCGAAAACTATTCAGACCCCCCTCGTATAACCACTTCCGTCAGGTTATATTTCCTACGTTATGAGCACCGAAATCTAGACAATAACTGAAGCCTCTGCATAAATAAACACGCATGCCCTGCGTAATGTTGATTACCTAAAGAATCCACAGTCGCGACTGAGTATAACTAAAAATAATAAACTTAATATAGTTTTTTTTTTAATCCTAATAAAGTTGGGACGTATAGGCCAGGCAATAGTAAGCCTGTTTTTTCAGTATTATACATACTAAAGCTTAAGATAACCGAGATATTAGGTTCCAAAAAGCAATAAATGAATTAATACGATCCCGCCACACTCCCCTCTCCTTCGTCAAAAAGTATGATGTACTAAGAGTATGTGCGTCAGTATCCAAACCAGGCGACGCATGGTGTCCAGTTTATAAGCAAACCGCACTGGACAAAACCGAAATTGCTACATTGTTAGAGCAATATCGTAGTTATCGATTATTTGGTATGAGCATCTTCAAGATCATATCGGTACTCCGCGAGTGTACTCAGATCTTCGCTGTCGTCCTCAATGTATCTTTCTATCTGAGCTGCGTTTTGATAGAAATTAGCTTTGGTATTCCAAACGGAAATGAAAGCACAATTGTCAGGACACCCTGTGGAGAACATAAATTTGAAAAAGTCTAGGTCTAGTCGAAGCTTTTCAAAGTTTGTTAAAATAACTGGTAGGGTATGTATCAGAACTAAGCAAACGTACTAAGAAAATCGTCACAGATACGTTTTCCGCGTCACTTCTAGAAGTGGCGGACAGGAGCACACAACTTAACCCTCCTTGACATTTTCTGTGCAGATTTATCAAGGGCAATTGTGTCAAAAAGTTATCAAAATGAAAATTTTAGTTGAAGAGTGGTCATCCGTAGAAACTGCTGAGAGGGTCATTTGAAGAGCATAATTTGTAAAATAAAACTCTAATATTTCTACAGTCTCAATCCAAAACATCATACTATTTTACCCAAAATTGTTGATTTATTTAAAAACAAAATCCTGACATTCGTAACATATTGGGACGCCCTTTGTATGTCCAAACTGTTGGTTTTAGAGGTCTAAAGCTCTAAAGGATCAGAAAAGCCAAATCGTTACTGTCGGACATAAATCTGGCAAATCTGAGCCAGCTTATGATATTTGTTATGTGTTACCATAAGGTTTTGTTACATCTGACCATTTATTTGAAGGCATGCACTCACTAGGAAACAATATACTGGATAACGGTTTCTCCAACTCCTTATTTGTAAACCCTTTTTTACACACTAAAACATGTAGATCTTTATTTCCAAAACACTCTTCATAAACATAAAATTACTACAGCTTCTAGTAAATATACTGACTGGGTTCAATTCAATAAGCTAGAGTAATAACTGTAATAACAACATACCAGTGGCGTGGGTTGTGACGAGCCAAACATAAAAAGCTGCTTGTACTGCTCAAAGGTGAAAAACTGAAAACTAGAGCATAGTAAGATGGATGGTAAGTGAAGCAACACAAAATAATATTACTTTTACGGCCCTCTTAGGTGTTTCAGCAAGGATAGGTGGAATGATCCCTTTCCAGAAGGAAAACAATCCTTCATGTTTGTACATTTTGGCAAAGCAGTCCAGTATGCCTTTATAGCTCTGTGGATCATTTTTACTGTACACATTCGACTGTATTTGTAATCGTGTCTTTACCAAATCCAGGGGGTGCATAATGCAAACCTCTACAAAGCCTTAAAAAAGCAATTTGTCAGGGTGAGAAATAACACTGTTAGAAAAAGTCATAAAGTGGGAGAGCATAGGGCACTACAGGTGCTGCCAATTCTTCTGCAACTGTAAAAATTGTATGAGTCATTTAGATCGCAGTAGTTGAAATTATACTATATTGTAAAGGCGCAGCCACACGCTCATCAAATCTCGGCAAGCTATCACAAATTCAAATTTATGGGTACACTTTGCCTTGACTTGCATTGGCTTGCTGGTGATTGTAATTGATTGATGATAGATTTATTCCAGAAATATTTAGGTTTTTGAGTACAAATCAAAGAGGTTTGGTGCAAGAATTTGCATCAAAATATAATGTATTTACAGATACATTGTACATTATCAATTATTTTCACAATAAAGATAGATTGAAGTAATGGTTATAATGATGAACTTTCTGAAATGTGGATGGTTCATCCCCTCACCCCTAGCCAAGAATTTGTAAGAGCTTGGAGCTTGCACCAAATGGAAAGCAAATTAACAAACAGAAGGAAAATTCACATATCTAATTCCATAGTTTCAGTTCTGCATGACATATGGCTCAACTCAATAGCTGAATACTCCTCACTAACAATTGACTCTATTGATAACTCTAGCATCACTTAGTATAGTCTATTTCACAGAATCCTGTCAATCAATATCAAGATTTTTAAAGTGGTCCATCAGGCAGCACTGTGGCGCAATGGTAGACGCTATGTGTTCTAATGACATCCCAAAATAAATTTTCTTTTGGCTTTGGAAGTTGTGATTGACTGTAAGTGGTAGACAGTCTAGCGTTGTCGAAAGTTACGGTTGCACCTGGTGTATCTAGCATGATAACATGTTCTCTCACTAGAGTCCACGTGACGTCCCTCCCCTTACCACAGTATTCCCTTATAGCCCTAAGGTTCCCAAGGCTGTTTAGGCCTCAGGCCTTCCTTCTGGTTCAGGTTTAAAAATCTTCAGGCAGCACTTACTATTAGCAGCTAATGCCCACTTGCACCCATGGGCGCCCACGGGAATTTTTCTCATTGGGGGCCAATGATAAGAGAGATAACTTTTTGTGAAAGTGTACCTGCCCTAAAAACTTTTTGAAGAGTGAAGATTACTTGGAGAGAGCCTAATCCCAAAAATCCTCAAAATTGTACACAAAATCATGCTGACTTCTGTACATTTTATGGTCCAACTGGATTTTCAGGTGGGGGCACAGCCAGCTGCCACTCCTGCAGAATCAGATGACTGCACTGCCTCTCTCAAATCTTATGCTTACCAAAGGTGACCCTCACATTATGTTTTTGGTGCACCACTCTGATTAGAATAACTACAAATTTGTTGGTTGACTTAGTTGCATGTCAACAAAAATGTTTCACAGTGTTTGCTTTGTATTCTAAAAAGCAATCCTAATGATACTTGATAGATAATTAACTATAGGGGAATTCTGGCCTGTCATTAATCAGCTTCAGAGTCAACAGATATGTTTCTCAGATGATGCAAAATCTTCAGGAAACTGTCTTGTTATCACAATTCAAAATATGTGACTTTATTATGGAACTTCATCAATTTCTGTGAAAATTATGACCATCTTTCAAACAATCAATGTTTGAAATAATAATTTGAGATACTCGACTATTGAGTTGTCCAAACCAAAGTACCTACATTTTAACTTAGAAAATCCATCTTGTGAAGGAACTCTAGACTTTAATTAATCTGACTAGTTCCATTCAAGCTTTAAGCAGATCTGGTACAACAATCATATTGAAATTAAGGATCGGCTTAGCCCAAAGTCGACATTAGCAATCCAGCATAAGTTCAGCTGAACGTAACCAACAATAAACTCAAACTGAGGGTGGAGACAGCTGAAAATTACAACTGCCATATAGTACATAAACTTTTGAACAACTACAGAGAACACCTCTATATGCCTTATGTTAATCCCTACTTATCAACAAATTTGATCAAATTGCTTACCTGCAGAACCACCTGATCCAATTTGAATTGCAGCTTCTTTCAATGCTTTTTTAACATCTCCCATGATTGCCAAAAATTTGTTCTTTAGCTGTTCAAGGTAAATATTCAAATTCAAATGGATAACCTCTAACGATAAAATTATGTGAGGAAAATAATCAAATCATTGTTCCGAGAGTTTCTATATGTTCTAGCTTATCAGGCGAACTCGCGACAAAATAAATGATCCAGTATCTTATCACACTTATCATAAATTAAAGTTAATCAAATTGATATTTTTCCGCTCTTTTGGCATTAGATTTGACATTGTCAAATGCATGATTAATGTGACATATGACAAGAATTTAGAATTCGGTAGCCTCTGTGCTTCAGTAGCTGAACTAGTTTCCAAACTGCTTACTACGAGAGAGTGCATAACTTCTAGCCCTCCTTTGATTATAGTGCAATTTTTCCCATATCTTGTTGTTATTCTTGCTGTCAATATGTTAATTGATAAAAACTTTTAATCCATACCGGATTGTATGGGATTGTATGAACAATTTTCTTTAATTTCTGCTGCCATCTCTATTTCAATATATTCACTAATAGTAGCGGTTGAGCAAAATTTGACATCACCAAGCTTGACATTTATTCGGATTACAACCTCTAAAAATTTTGACATGTCTTCATGAAAACATCAAAACACGTTTTCCACAATTTCCATAGAAGAAATCATAATTTTTAGCATAATATAAAATAATAATGGCGGAGGCTATGAAACAAACTGTAGCTACTATGCTTAAAGGCATAGAAAGGTAAACCTTGTAAAATTCCTGCATACGGACGTTATAGTAATTTCCCTATATGTTTTTAGGTACAACCCTGATAATTTACCAACTTTAGAACGTTACGTGGAAATTCAGTCTCGTGAGAATGCATATGATTTGGAAGCCAACTTAGCAGTGCTCAAATTGTATCAATTCAATCCACACAGGTTCAATACAAATATTGTTTGTCAAATTCTTCTAAAAGCCCTGACAAACCTCCCACATACAGATTTCATGCTTTGCAAATGTCTGCTTTACGAGAAACAAGTAAGTTTCATTTTGTTAGTACTTGATTTTTTAGTATTGATGAAGCTGGGGACTGGGAGTAGTGTGTTTAGCCATTAGGTACACACTGGTGATTATACCCTTCAAATCTCAGGCTAGTGGACGATAATGACTTGAGCATGTAATAACAATTGGATTGGAGCAGTGATCAAGGGTTTGTTTTGATGCTAAACTTACTCATTTTTGCCCATTATTATTGACTATTTGCCATCCCCCTTGTTTTCCATTCTGAAATAATTATTTTTTTGAGTGCTTTGGTCTGTATATACCGGTGCAGCATAAGAGGGATTTGACTAGAGCTTATGTTGCCATTTAGACTCATTATTATTATATATTTTTATTTTCAGTTATCCATTGAGCCAATTGACCAGATTGTTTACCTGGCGGACATTCTAGAGCAGTGTAATTTTCAAGCTTTTTGGACTAGGGTTCTAACTGATCAAGACCTCACCCAAAGCATCACTGGTTTTGTGGACTCCATCAGGAAATTTGTCTGTCATGTTGTGGGAATCACGTATCAGACTATTGATCAACACCACTTGGCTCAACTTTTAGGTATGCTTAGAATGATTCTAGATTTATAAATTTATAATAGGGTAATTGACAATTATTTTATTAATACTGAACCATTTGTACTATGTTGCACCAGTAATAGATAAGGTTTTATGCCTTGGACAAAAAAGACCTTTCTTTCTACTAAACATTCACTAATGTTGATCACTTTTCTCAGAAATGAACAATTAAGATTATGTTCTCATCTATATTACAGACTTACAAGAAAAAAATGAGGTTAGTGCAGGTAAATGAAAAATCTTCTGAAGTGAGACACTCTTTTGGAAATGCCAGTTATTTCTTATCTCTAATAAGTGTAAAAAAAAGATTCAAAAGTGTAAATTGGACTTCTACACAACTAGTGTTTTTGAGAGGATGTCTGAGTCCAGAGTGTACTCATATGCCATATTTAGTTGTACTAATCTCAGATTTTTTTTCTAATTTTTTGTGTATTAGTAGTCTTATATATTCATATATTGACAGTTAGATGTTAGGATAAGTCCTTTGACTTCCTACATCACTTGGCAAAGAGACATTTCAAAAATGAGATGTTTTGTGTGTGTCATAAACTCACCTTCCCATTCAAAATTGGATGATTTATTAAAACAAATAAAATATTATGATACATTGCTTTCTACTGCCAATTTGTAACTGTTTTTTTTATTACATCAATTATGTTTAACTTGCTGATTTTCATTGCAACTGTAACCTATTTTCCAGGTGACATCGATGACAGCACATTAAAAATATGGATTAAAAAATACGGATGGAAGGAGATTGAGAATAATTTGGTATTTATTGCCAACCAAGATGAAAACATTAAGACTAAGAATATCAATGAAAAGATTGATTTTGATAGTGTAGGAGCTATTATGGCATCATGTCGTTGATAAAAGTGTTTTTTTTTACTGGAAGAATTGAAATATAATTTGACACACAATAGAAACATCCACCTTTCTTATCCCAATTCATTAAAATAATCCTGTAACCAAATTCAATTCCTTCCACTTCAAGTATTTGCCCAATAAAATACTGACGTTTCAGCTGTCATGGCAGATTTTTTGGAAGTACGCATATTATAATTCAGAAACCTCCACCTAGTTTCCAACTGACAAAACCAATAAAATCATTAACTTGTTCAATTTTTCGTAGTTATGAGAACAGTTAATAACTCTTCCGATTGTGCCATTTTGTTTTATTATCTTGTATCACATATGTATCAGGTGCTTGGTATTTTTCACAATTTGACATATATTCGGAAAAATCTCTGTAAATAAAGTCGCTTCATCTGTATGGGTTGTAGACAGTCCCCTAAACGTGAGTGCATTATGATAGGTCAGCTCACAACTGCACAGGGTTTTAAAGGGATTTGAAGATCTTCCATGCTCCATACAGATAACTGTGCCTCTTACCAGTAGCAGTTGCAATTTAGGAGACGTGCTCCTCCCGAATGCTGTATTCAACATGTAGGTCAGGGTACATGATAGGGCTGGAGCAATATAAAAAAACGCACTTGTTCGAAAACCATAGATCCTACATAAAAAAGCAACAGAAGCAACTTTGTAGTGAATTAAATCATTTTGCTTCTATGAAAATTTGCTGTATAGTCAACATGTTATGAGAAATTTCGTGTAGAGGTACATATTTTCGCTCATAATGCTACTATCCTCTTTTGTATAGGATAAAAACTACAATAAAGCTCCCCTACCTTTTTTTCTACACCTTGATGATTCTTCAAGTATAAAGAGTGAAATTCAAAAATCGTATTGAAAGATAACATGTTTTCACGTGAGGGTAACTGCATACGTCGTTAGCTATGATCAATAATGCCATTTTAAAGTTAATCCAAGTCACTCCCATCAGTCTGTATGTTGGTCATTTTGACACTGCATAGCCTCAACAACCGTCGCAACGATTTTAAATGGAAAAGGAGTGTTGCCACAAACTAGGGCTACCTACTACATCTCTATTAAAACAGGTGAAACGCTTACTGAAATTACTCAGTGACAAAATCACCAATAGACTGACGGGAGTGAGTGATAACATCTCAAATTATTTAAAAATACTGCATTATCCATACTAGCACGTGGTAGTAAAAAATAGATCCAATTTAAAATGGTATTCTTTATCATAGATAATGATTATGAAGTTATTTCTACGTGAAACAGTGCTTGCGAATTACGTGGACAACGTACTGTTGCCCAAATTTAATAGGATTTTCTTATACAAAGTCTTCCTGTTTCTTGACCTAATGTTTCTATCCCATATTACATTCAAACGAATGACTATCTGGTATAACTCGAGTCTGCATTAGCTGAACTGAATACATGACTGGATGAATTCATTTGTTAAGGCCACTGCTGCATCACAGCAGCAGTGAAACAAACTGCACCCTAATCTTGTATCTTCTAGGTATTTCATAGAAAGGGGATCACTGAGATTTTTTCTCCAATTTTACCTATTGTGCCCCTGATCGTTTTCAAGAGAGAGAGAGAATAACGCATTACGATACATAACATAATAGCACCAACTTTAAATGCAAAGATTCGTTTCACAATCCACAACCCTGACGGATCTAGTCCGATGAAACCAATGTTGCAGGAAAACCCAATTCTCGTGGAACATATGAAACGATATTTCCGGAGGAAGAAATGAATAGATAACCATACCACAAGTGCCTGACAAATGCACCCGGTACCTGGCCGGTATTGGTTGAGGCTTAATGTGATTTCACAGGTGCGCATAGATGCCGGCAGGGTTCTTACATAGAAAAAGGCAAAAAAACGACAACATGTCAACTTTCTGACTAGATAGTTGCTAGTGCACAAATAGTTCGTTCCGCTATTGCTCGCTGTGAGCGTCACTCTAGCGCCTCTATGAAGGAATGACTCGACGACATGCCAGTGTGCTTTGTTGGTTGCAGAATGCCGAGATAGTATGTAGAGTATGTATCTCTGAGATGTGCAAGAAAGAAAATACTTGAACGATTGCATCTGGATGATTCTGTGGTGATTGAGCATATTGGTCTGCATGTGTATAAAATTGATATTTGCTATGTGAGAAAATTATTATTGAATATGCTGTACCACGAACTATATTAGCTGTACTAGACGGGTTCTTTGTGTGGCCCTTTCTGAAGAGAGGCTATGTTCAAAGTTACAAATTACAATTTTCACATTTTTTTGCGTTTTCAAAAACTTTTACATGCATTACGGGAAATCACCACCACACCCGCGTTGTGTGTAACTAAGTCAGACCACAGAAAAATAGGAATGACGCGTCACACACAAAAAATTTTTCGTAGTGCCTCACATCTAGACGCTCTACTAGACATCGCAAAATAAACTTCTATAAAATTTAAATGACTAGAAATAAGAAATAATAACCTTTCCATGTTTCATAAATATGTCTGTCTGTAGCCTATTTTCTTACCTGTTAGTTTCAGTATACTCAAGCTACCAGAAATTTTGTTTAATTATTTTATCTCTCATTTTTGAAATACGCGATTTGCAGGAAAAAGCATACATCTTACGTAATTGTATTCGAGACAGGAAAGTAAGAAAATTATCACCAACGCAGCTTATTAGCACACAAATCCTCACTATGCAGCTATGCCCTGCACATCAAATTGACAACAGCTAGTTCTAAGTTGACACCTTGTAGAAAAACCTACATAATGTCACAAAAAACCTATATAATGTCAAAAAAAAAAACCGACATAATGTCACTATCAACTCCGTATTCCCCACACTGGCCGATTTCTGGAAGTCGGTCGGCCGCAGGTCGCATTTACCCGGCATTCGCGAACGGGATTGTGATAGTCTATGGAACACTACATCCATTGCTCGGTACCGGCATGTGTGAAGGGAGAGCACATAAGAGAGGCCTCTCTAGAAATTTGTAAAGAAAAGCGGAGCATACTACATTAATCTATAAACTTGCACTTGAAAAAATATATATAGAAGTGCATGCTTTACGCTCCTTTCACATTACACGATTTCGCACGTACGGGAAAAAATCGCCCGGGCAATTTTTCTTGATCGACTGTTGAAGAGCACGAGAGCTTTCACATTGCACGATTACAACACGGGCGCGTTTTCTAAACGCGTTGCAGCCGTCCAGTGCCACTAGAACCGTACGGCTACCGTATCTCTCTCTAGCTCAGTGGTCTAGGTGACCAAATGCACGCTTTCACACTAGACGGTTTCAGTCGTGCCACGATTAAAAATCGGGCGATTTTTTTCCCGTACGAGCGAAATCGTGTAATGTGAACGGAGCGTTAGAGTGTTGTGCGCCTGAGACAAAGAATAAAATTTTCGCCCTCCTCTCATCTTGATTGAGAATTTTGCGCTACCCATGTCATTGCGCCCTGGTGTGGCTGCATCACTTGCTTACCGACCTCATCAGTCCGATCCACAGCTTTGCCGGTGAGCTGGAGAAAAGAGGACTAGCAGCGACTTCCTCTCTGACGAGAGGCCTGGAGGTTATTACTGCTTGGGGACGCAACAATGTGGTTCCGCTAAATGCTTCCAAAACACAGTAGCTACTGTAGCTGCTTGACTGACAAGACGCGCCCTAACGTTAAACCGGTTTCGATGGATGGCCGAGTTCTACCACAACCGTACATTTCGGCTGGTTGGAGTCCAGATCACCGAGGACTTGATCTGGCACAACCACATCTCGTCAATAGCGACAGCTTCTGGGAGAAGCTAGACTATTTGTTTAGGGCTAATAAGTAATTTTCGCAACATAACCTACTCACTGTGTACAAGGCTAGATAAGAACCTAGCCTCGCGTACTGCTCACATGTTTTGGATGCTTCCACCCCGACTACTTCTATCCATGCTCGATGCTGTTCAGAGGAGGGATGTCCGACTGGTCGATAACTCTTTTCTAACGGACAGTCTCGGGACCCTTTCGCACCGACATACCGTCGGCGATCTATCTCTCTCCTACCGCTACTCCAACGGGTTTTGCTCCAAAGAGCTCTCCTCCATGATGCCGTCGCACGATATGCCTGCCAGACAGACCTGACTAGGCGTCTCGTCCTAACAGTGCCGAACTTCGTACGTGCAGAAATGGCCGATACGACCGCTCCTTTGTCTTTAGCGCATGGAGATTGTGGAACAATACACTTGAGGAGGCGTCTCTCAGTTCTACTAATCTTAGGCGGTTCAAAAATTGGATTAACAAAGATTCTTTAACATCCTCATAGCAGTCGCGGTGACGTGGCATTTAGGTCTGCCTACGCGGCTGCTCCAGTCCCGGCGACTTCGGTGTAATAAAAATATCGATGAAAAAACTTAAATATGTGTTGTCCCGTGAAAGTCTTTTTCCGATGTCGTTTTGTTCTTTACAGTAAAATTCTATTGTGTCGGGTTGTAACACCCCTTTGTCTACATAAAGCTAATGATCACTGCAAAATATACTGGTACATGTGCCATAAGAGCCTTCAATAATAGAGCACGTCGTATACAAATTGGTGGGTAAAAGTGAATCTATACAATAACACGCATAATCGGTAATATAATTCATGATGTAGCAGAAGTGGTGTGGTGTGGGAGGGTCACGTTTCGGCTTCCCCATTGTGTCTGGCCGACAACCAGTGGCGGGTGTGGTTTGTCCAGGTATGCTTATTTTTTGTGTCATTCCAGAAAAATTATCAGTGGACACACTAGTAATCTAAACATGGAAATGATAAAAAACTGAACTAACGTATGTCCGAAAAGTTTTGTCACAAAATTTAATGGCTTAAATTTTAACAACTACAAAATAATATCAAGTTGCATTTGGAAACAAAAGTTTGTGTACTTACTTTACTGTCAGTTGGCATTTATTTATTTTGAAGTTTTCGCTTTAAGATGTCATATAAAATAGAAATATGAAAAAGTATCTACAAGTCGGATAGGCGGGTACCCAAAGCTGAAGTCTGTCGAATATTCCAGAATGAAAACATTTCACGCAGAACAATTAATCGAACAATAGCGGGTGCGAGCAGTGACCATGTCTGAATCTCCCAAAAAGTGGAAGTCCATGTGCATTTACTGCACAGAGGTCAGAGAGATTGGTGAGAAGAGCAAAAAATCAGGTTGTAATGTCAACAAGGAACTGGCTCGTCAATACAGATCTTCTAAGAGCACGTTATCGTTGGAATTGAGGAGGATTGGTCCTAAATATCGAAAAAGACTTAAGTGCCCCAAATACTCTCAAGCGCAATTCCTTCGTATACCAAGATCCTGTCGTTAACTGAGCCGGGTACACTTTGTCAATGGAAAAATCATTA